CCCCCATGGCTGAAAGGGCGAGCATGTTTGGTGTGACGGGGATTCGAACCCGCGACCCTGAGATTGCGAGTCGAGCGCCCTAACCACCTGGCCATGCTGGGCCTGGAAGGACTATGAAGTTATATTTATAGTATGCCCATAATGTTAGAAAGACTGCAAAATTATAGATGAGTTAACATGACGGTTTTCATGTTTGCAGTTAAGCACAAAGCTACATGATAAACTATCTGTGCTATGCCAACCACGGGTATCGAAATCCACTTTTAACGTTATAAGCCTTCAGATTTTCCGCTGAGCTACCAGAGGCCTGTAATACAGCTACCACTATAAAAAGTACCATAATAATGCAAAGATTTTCAGCGAATATGGTGATATTTGTTATACAAGTGATACATAGCATAGATATTAATTTGAAATTCCGTTGACGAATTATGTAAAGATTTATGATATTTTGTATCTTTTTCCTTATTTAATATGCTGGACGACTGGAAAATATTAAAAACAGAGTAGCTTAGAGTTTTGTATACTCTTCCTTATGTGTCGTTTAATGTTCAAATTATTAAAAATTTGTAAGTATTCTGTAGAACGGAAAGTCTTAATTTTCTACCCAGTCACAGACATCGCTGGTATTCTGAAGAGCGGAAAATCTTGTTTTTCTACTCAATCACAAACATCATCAGTTTTCTGAAGAGCGGAAAATCTTACCTTTCTACCTAGTCACAGATATCACTGGTATTATGCAGAACGGAAAATATTACCTTTCTATCCAGTCACAAACATCGCTATTATTCTGCAGAGTAACACCAGCAAGGGTCACAATAATTGTCAAACGGGTTATCTCCAGACACCAGTAATAACTGCAGGTCACTGATGTCCCCATTGATAGTCACTCTGTTAAGTAAATTCAGGTGAATATCACTCTCATGTCTTAATAAACTCTGTTGTCAGACTATTGTTACACAGTTTTTTCTGTTAAATTATTTAGCATACAAATTTAAACTTTCTTAATACGTGTCAAAAGGTGCCTTTTACAAATTATATTCTGGTTTAGACTATTCTGTTTTCCAAGGTTATACATGCCATCAAAATAATGTATTCCAGACAATTATTTAGTTTATACTTTCTTCTGTTTTCATAGGAAATCATATTATCAAACAAGGCTTTCGATTTTTTTTTCAGTTCAATTTTGATTTAAGTTCTTACGATCCAAAGAAAAAATGCTTCAGGAATAAAAACTATTAATTTCTTACTTACATTCTTTTTCTTACCACATTTTTGTAACCGCTGCTCCCACAGAATTTGACTAAAGTTTCGATCAATATTCAGCAGATACCAATTAAACGTGACAATTCTTTTCGCCTGTTGGTTCATTTTACATGAACACTAATCCCCTAGTGATCGTTTGTGTAACAGTGTGATTTCTACGAATCAGGTTCATCCTGCCGAAGCTCTGCTACTCTATCTGTCTTCACAAAGTCGACAAGTGTATCAGATATCGTCAACAGGTTCAGGACGTTACAGAATTACTGCTCAACAAGTTTATTTCCTCGTCGTGGAGGTTAGATGTTTATAATTTAAGGTGCTGCCCTCTATTGATGATAAGGCTCTCCCACGTTTAAGTGACGCGCTTATTCAGAGCTCTATGTGCCCGCTTAAGGTTTAACCTCGTGCGATAAAGCTATAATATATGTAAAATACTTTTACTTATTTTTTTCTATTAGGCGTGGATGAGAAAAGCAGTTGGCAGTACGTGTGATAAGTAAAATACGTATAAGTTTGTTTGTTTTTGAATTTCGCGCAAAGCTACACGAGGGCTATCTGCGCTAGCCGTCCCTAATTTAGCAGTGTAAGACTAGAGGGAAGGCAGCTAGTCATCACCACCCACTGCCAACACTTGGGCTACTCTTTTACCAATGAATAGTGGGATTGACCGTCACATAATAACGCTCCTACGGCTGAAAGAGCGAACATATTTGGTGAGACGGGGATTCGAACCCGCGACCCTCAGATGAAATACGTATAAAAGCAACTTAAGAATCGCTGTCTATTCAACGCACCTTCGGCTTGACATGTTTTTCTAAACATTAAGAGCTTCATACAGTGTAAACTACCATGCCTGCTAAATGTACTTATGCAGAGTCCCCGAAAGTGTTCTGTTTCAAGAGTTAATAAAACCAAAATTGAGAGTAACAAATATTTTTTTTTTTTGCTTTTGAAGTTGATATGTCATGCTGTGTTGTAGCCTACGGAATGTATAATTCTTCTCGTGATTCATGGCAACTTTAAGCGTATCGTATGAGAGATTCAAAAGACTGTGAAATTTGCTTAGGCAATTAAGTGACAAGAATAGTGCACACATGGTTGTAATCATATTCGCGTTAACAATCCACCAAGCTTAGAGTAATGCATTTTTTTAAAATTACGATAAAGGCTAGATTCAGTGATAAAGTATAACAGATACTTTCCACAATTCATTTGTGTTTTTCTATATTTCGATAATAATGCAAAACAAAGTAAGAGACTCAATTATTTTGTTTTATTTTGTCTAATGACATCTTGATATAATTCCAAGCGTAATCTATAGTTCGGCGTGCGGAGTGCGTATCGGAAGATATGTCAGCGTGGATATTGGAAAATAAAACCACATCAGACAAACATATTAGTGGTACGTCTAAAAACCAAGTTGGCAGATCGTGATAGACAAGCATTAACATGAGCAGTGAGACGAAAACTACGGCGTCAAAAGTGTGCGCACAACTTAACGCTAGCCTGCAACATCCAAGTTCAGTCGAACGAAGTTGAAGGGAACTGCTTAATGTTAATAAAATAAAAGTTCGACTGAAGGTCGATGAAAGAATGCAGTTTGATTATCTTTTACATTTTTCCCATCAAATGGATGTGTTTATGTGCGGAGAACTACAAAATAAGCTTACGACCCTGAATATATTATGCTATCATTTAAGCTTTATGATGTTATGGGCAGCTTTTTATTGGAATATTGTAGAGCTAGCGAAATGGTCAGAAAAATAAACTGACAGAAAACAAGTAATCAAACTTTACTGTAGAACAGGTTCACCTTATAATGAACACTTTATTCTCAGACAGAGAGAGCGTGTTTCAAGAAGAATGCAACAATTCATAGTGCTGACATTATTAAAGATTTGTTCATAGAACACGAGGAAGAGCTGGACACCTAACATGTCCATCAAAGTCACCAGATCTAAATGATGTCGAGCCTCTATGGTCAGTTCTTGAAATCAATTTTTGGAAGCAGATTTCCACCACTTCAACAGTTAGAAGAAGAATTGATCGACATTTTGTCAAAAAAAATCATTGTATGATGAACAACACCTTGTTTCATTAATTCTGCGTAGTTTTAATGCTGTATGGTCTGCTCGTGTTGAACTAACTCCGTATTAATAAATAAAATGGAGAAATTCAAAGGTGTTTCATTATTTCATCCAATATCCGTATATGTATTTTAATCTTTCAAAACATCTGTATAGATTCACTACCTAGTCTTTCGAAAACTTCAGTATATATTCTATGTTAAATATTTCAAAAACTCCAATACATATTAGTGTTAAATTCTTCAGTTCTACATATCCTCAGTTAGAATCTCTCAAAAACGCTGAGTGTAAAAAAAACAACAAAAAATGTTTAATACTGGGGATTTAAAAAACTTTAAATAAAGAGTATTAGATAACTTCCAATGACAGTGAGTTGAAACCCAAACATAATAAAAGTCAAAGAACGTCCAACGTTTAGTGAGAATCAAAGAAGTTTAACATTTAGTAAGTACTAACACGGTTTTTGGTATTAGAATTAGAAAGAAAACAAAATATACTCTAATAAAGTGCTCTATCAGTTAAAACAAACACACTTTACTGCCAAAAGATCTCACTTCTTAATAACATTTGGCCACGAAGATGCGGAGTTTAGAAGTGTTCATGTTCACGCAGGTGCTGCACTTAGCCACTTTACAGCGGCAAGTACGCTTCTTGAGCCTTCTCTGTCCATTTATATCTTCATAACTCGCAAGATACGTGGAAAAAACGGCTTTATAGAACTGGAGAACCAGATCTTGTATTGCGCAACATGTGCGGCCACTACCGTATTTTGTTTGATATATTGGTAATATTAGTTTTACTCCATAGCCACGAAATTAGTGCGAAGTTGGTCATGCTGGTGGGCAATGCATATTCCAGACTTCGCAAGCAGTTCAAATTTCTATTCACAAATATATATATATATATAAAACAGAGTGCCGGGAATCAACCCACCAAGCATGTTTCCCTGACTCGCAACCTGGGTGTTAAAACTTCGAAGCATAGAAAATGTTAAAGAAGTTTCAAATGTAGTGAGTTTTAAACTTTTTCGACGTTTAATTAAGGTTAAAGAGCACTTAAGTACGGTTAATGTTAAAACATTTTTAAATATGGTGAATATAATAGAATATTATGCAACAGAGTTCGACAACTTTCTAGGTGAGCCAAAGACGTGTTCATCGGGTATAATTATTGATTTTTTTAAACCACTGATAACTTCAATAGGTGAATTTTTAAACTGCAATAATAAGAGAAATGTGCTACGCTTTTTCAAATATATATTAACATAGTCAATGCTCACTCAATGACTCAGAAGGAAAGAACCATGTAAGGTAATTGTCCATATATGTAGGAAAACAAAGTCAGGTTTAACGAGATGTGTCTCCGCATCGACGGATGTATTCAACTTCAGGGATTATCTAGGAATCAGTTTTGTTTTTTGTTTTTCTTCTCAAAGTTGTAAACTTACAAAACTCGTTCCGCAACGTTACATGTTCTACACGAATTCAACTTCATGAATAATCAGTTTTTGTATTGATAATAATTCCCGAGTTCTATCCCTGTTGAGTTCCGAAAATGGTCATGGCCTGTTTGGCAATAAACAAAAATGTTTCCCAAGAATCCTGAGTAGGTGTCGCTTCGACATGCTTCGAATTCTCTCTCACTGCCAGAATTCAATATATTATAATATTATATTCCTATCTGACACAGTCATGTATATTTTGTCAAGGCGTAAGTTACGCATGAATTATGTGAAAAATGTCATTTTTTATTAAAAAGAACAAAAATGCAAAAGCCCACGTTCAAAATATCGACCATGTTGCGCAAGTTATATAGTCTATGTTTTACCCATGCTGAGTAAGGTTTATAAGTTATACATTAACCACGTTGTATCAGTATATAGTTTATGTATGAACAATTCTAAATAAAATGTATTCATATACTAGATATGTTGTGTCAGTTATCTGTATGCAAACCATATTGTATCAGTTATTGTCTATATGTTAGCTGTGGTGAGTAAATTATATAGTTTATGTATTGACAATGTTATATAACATTTACAAGTATGCTGTATCAGTCACACAGTCTCTCTACTGCTATGTTCTGTAAATTATAGATTCTATGTTCTAATAATGTTGAATAACACAAAGTATTAACCTTACCGAGTTAATTATAAACTGTTTTTGTCATGCTTATATTGGTCTGTTATCTAATTTTCATACTAACCATGTTATATTAATTAATTAGCCGATTTTTTAGCAATGTTGCTTCAGTTATCTGTTATAATAATAATACTCAGTTTTTGTCTGTCCTGAAAATGCGCGTGCATGCGTATTTATATAGTAATGTGTTGCGCGCATTTTTAATCTTGCCAGCGCTTATATTGATATGTGTGAAGTGATCTGATCATATACATCAACAACCACAAGACAATTTATAGATTCATGTTTAAGATATAGAATTTTTACACTGTACGTCTAGATTAAAAATAACGTACATCTATTATGATAACACTCAGTTTTTGTCTGTCCTGAAAATACGCGCGCACCTTACTATCTAAATGCGCATACGCGCTTACTTTATTTCAACGGATGTAAGCAAAAGGCTTTAGTAGACATTAAAAGCTTATAAATTTTTTTAAAAAGGTATAACGTTAGGTCGTAGAATATAATTATAAGTTTATTTATTGATAGTATAGTAAACTAAACTAAAGCAAAAAACGTACACAAGTTACAGTGTTAATTTATCTCTGAATATACGCCGTACTTAATAAAGACTTACCTAATGTTAGGCCTAAGACAAATGGATTTATAAATTTCGTTGTCTGCGATGACAATTATTTTGCATTATTCTAGAGATCCCGCATTTAAAGAAGTATTATTGCAATAAGAATACTAATTTGACCGCACTTGTTTTGCGGGTCTCTGCTAGTATAGTTTAAATACTAGTCACGTTGTGTTATTTATATAGTTTAAATACTAGTCATGTTGTGTCATTTATGTAGTTTAAATACTAGTCATGTTGTGTCATTTATATAGTTTAAATACTAGTCGTACTGTAGCAATTATATAGTCTAAATATTAACCATGTTATATTAGTTGTTTAGTTTAAATACTAGTCATGTTGTGTCATTTATGTAGTTTAAATACTAGTCATGTTGTGTCATTTATATAGTTTAAATACTAGTCATGTTGTGT